TTCCCTAACCTCTTTCTTCTCCCTTTCTTTTTACCGCGTGATATCTGTCTTCTTCTGTTGCAGTCACCACTTCATTTCACAGAAAACATAATAAAGAGAGTATTGTGTCCTAGGAACACATAGGAATATCCTTGTTAGAAGTTTGCTTGTATTTCTAAGCTATTGCTCTCATCATGAAATTCAGACTGCCGCAAGCTACCATGCCATAGCAATTGCACTTTCACTGATGGAGGCATACCATTTAAGTGTTCAGCATGAGCAAACCACCTTAAGGATTCTCCGAGCAAAGCTGGGGCCAGATGATTTGCGTACCCAGGTATCTGATCGTATGACTCTCAATCAATCTTCATTGTGAGGAAAACTTGGACCTTTCATGCACGTATTCTGGAAAGATAAAAGCTCTTAATTATTCTTCTGCTAACAAAACCTTTTGGATGATATAAACTAGAGTTGATGCAAGAAGTAAAAACGTTTTTTTCTTCTTTAAAGAAATTTGTGTCTATGGAGATATATTTGTGCTGAATTTCAATCTGATCAAATATTTCAGGACGCTGCTGCTTGGCTAGAATACTTTGAGTCCAAGGCTTTTGAACAACAGGAAGCAGCACGTAATGGTACACGGAAGCCAGATGCATCTATAGCCAGCAAAGGCCACCTAAGGTCAACAAGATTATTCAGATATTTCTTTGTCGATTGTTATATGTCACCTCTGCTGTATAAACATATTAATCAAATTTACTACTAGTTGGATTGATGTTTTAAAATATCTTGCAGTGTATCTGACTTACTGGACTACATTAACCCAAGTCATGACGCAAAAGGGAAAGATAGTGTAGCAGCAAAGAGGAAGACCTACATAATGAAGGTATCTTTAGGCTTATGAATGATTATTTATTAATTAACAATTCGGTTACTCTAATCTGAAACTTGGCTACAAAAGAAGAAGTTTCCTCGGAGATCCTTTTTTTCTTGTGAAATCTGACAATTTTTCTGGGTAGGATGACTTACGTTCCACCATTACCAAGCTTATTCATCTATCTGTTTAGATAACTAGTCATTCTAGCAAAACCAATGTCCTTGTTCCCAATGCTAATGGAGTGGGCCTATCTTTGTATAGTTGAAGGAGAAATCCAAGCAGAACAGTATTTCCGGACACTCTGGTGAATTTTCCAAAGAAAACGAAAAGGAAATATCAGATGTGGAGACAGAAGCACATGAAACTGAAAGGAAAACAGGTGTTGCAAATCATGAGATGAGTCCTGAACCTGTTGAAACCCCATCTCTGGTCATTGATGAATCTATGGATAGGAAGCCTGTTACGTCTACCGAAACCTCACCAGAGACACATCCTGAAGGTGAAGATGGATGGCAACCAGTACAAAGGCCGAGATCTGCTGGATCATATGGGCGCCGTCTGAAGCAACGGCGGGCTTCCATTGGCAAGGTGTACACATATCAGAAGAAGAACGCTGATGCTGACATGGATAACCCTCTTCTCAAAACTGATCAGCAGAACACTAAATATTACATTCTCAAGAAAAGAACAGCATCTTATGCAAGCTATGTGGATCATCATTCTCTCGGTTCAACCCAGGGAACCAAATTTGGCCGCAAGATAGTAAGAACTTTGGCATATAGGGTTAAATCTACGCCTTCATCTGCAAACACTAAGACAGCCGAAACCTCTGAAGATGGGTTGAAGATGGGTGCTTCTGCAATAGCATCTGGTCCTCCTACCGCAGTGCCAAATGACAGCCACTCTGTGAAAAATTCTGTTGTAAGTCTTGGAAAATCTCCATCGTATAAGGAAGTAGCATTAGCACCTCCGGGTAGTATTACCAAGTATCAGGTCTGGGTACCACAAGCTGAAGTTTCGGACAAGCGAGAAGATTCTATGGAGAAAACTGAAGGAACATTAATGGAAATTGTAAGAGATGAACAGGAGATTACAGCATCAGGGGTGGAAGATATTGTAGATGTGAAAAATGAGAACAAAGTAAAATCACAGTCATCTGAAGTGAATGAAGGGAAGAACCCTTCGATTGTACAAGAAAGTGAGAAAGAGCCTGAACAGTCTTGTCACATTGAGGTGGTACAAGATGAAAGCCAGTTGATCGACGGTGTACAAGATATAATTCAATCAACCGAGCAACAACAGGCGACTGATGAGTTGTCCTCCATCAGCTTTGAACCAGAGAGCAGTTCAGTTCCCTCCGAGCAAAAAATGGATGACCAAAAGGAAAAACCCTCAGGTGTGGTGGACTCAGGTGATGCCCGAGGACTGCCTAACAAGAAGTTGTCTGCTTCAGCAGCTCCGTTCAACCCATCCCCTGCCATTATACGGCCTACTCCGATAGGCATGAACATCACCCTTCCTCAAGGCCCTGGTGCACCATGGCCAGTGAACATGACCCTTCATCACGGGCCTGCTCCAGTCTTACCTTCCCTACACCAACCTTACCCCTCACCTCCTTCAACCCCAAACTTGATGCAGCCACTGCCCTTTGTCTACCCTCCTTACTCCCAGCCTGTCCCTACAAGTTCCTTCCCTGTAACCAGTGGTCCTTTCCATCCCAACCAGTTCCCCTGGCGGTGCAGCATGACTCCTAATGTATCCGATTTTGTTCCCCGATCAATTTGGCCTGGCTGCCATCCTGTTGAATTCTCCGCCCCTCACCCAATCATGGAGCCAATCCTAGATGCCACTGTATTGGAACCAACATCGCAGCCTGACAGTTCTCCAATTCCAAGCTCACCGAATATTCTGCCAGTCGATATCGACACTGCAGAAGGAGAAGCCAAGCAAGAAGTCAGTCTGCCGGCATCTGATGTGGTACATGCCTTAAATGAAGTAACCGGGGCTGGGAATCATGTAAAGGAAAACGGTTTCCCCGGCACAGTAGTTAGCAACGAAACTTCTTTCCATTCAAACACTGGGGAGACGAAAACAGATGGCGAGAAAACTTTTAGCATCTTAATAAGGGGGAGGAGAAACAGGAAACAGACACTGAGGATGCCGATAAGTTTGCTGAGCCGACCATATGATTCTCAACCGTTCAAGGTTGCATACAGCCGAGTTATCAGAGGCAGTGAACCTCCAAAGTCTGCAGCTTGAATTCCAAATTGACCGAGCGGGGAAAGAAGGAAATAAATCTCTAAGGTATATGTACGTACGTACGTATGTATGTCTTGTCAATACTAATTGATGTGGACTTGCACACTTTTTCTGATCGCCCTACATCTTGCAGGTTAGCATCAACAATCTTCAATGTTATGTCCATAGCTGGGGGGCTCATTCCCATCCATTCTGTTGATGGAAGAAGCAGGAGGAGCCTTTTTGGTGCATCAGGTACCTAATCTCAATCTTTTGGGTTCTTGTATTATCGACGCATTTGGATTTGGTTATACTTTTGTTTTGTTTTTTTTACTATGAAGATTAAAACGTGCTTATGATGCGAATTTTACTGGTAAAGGGAGTTAGCGACAGGAGGTTGATCTTCTTCCCTTTTTTTTTGGGCTTTCAGGAGGAGGATGAACTTGGACATTCTTTTTACCATTTGAGGTGATGTCTGAATTTGGGTGTTTTTTTTTTTTTGTGTTTCAGCATAAATTAGGAAATTTTGGACATAATTTGAACTCCCCTTGTTACATTTGTTTTTTTTTTCACTTCATATGCTGATCAAATAACATACGGACGAGGTTTAAGCCCGATTGCGGTCTTTTAGACTGTATTAAGAGAGCACGTCTCATATTGTCTTGGTCTCGCTTTTGAATTTTGACACACTTCAGGCATAAGGAGGCTGATTCGGACTTGAAATAATAGGAATCTATTCTGTTTATCCAAAAGTTGCAATTCTTGTTTATTTCCAATATGCTGCTAATTTTAAAAATATATATATTTAGAATAAATAAATCAGAATTACAGCGATTTTCAGACAAAAAAAAAAAAGGGACGTGAAACAGCTAAAAGAAAGTCTCGATTTAAAAGAGGGAGGGAAAAAGATACGTATGTGTCTTTAAGTGATTTGAGGAGCGGTTCCTTTACACGAGAGGCTGAGCGACGGTGGCCGGCGGATCATTCCGATCAACGCCGCTCTTATCAGTGTACTGACCGAAGGGATTCTCACCTTCGTAATTCCCCGGCGGATTATACACACAGATCACATAAACGCCGCCATTAGAGCATTCCTCACGAGCGCACCCAACCTTCGTACTCTCTCTCCACACGATCTGCGTGTAATGGCCACACATTTGATCAGGCTCGCACGCGTTTGCCTTCTCGTCGTAGTACTTGTTCTCCTCCGCCCATATACGCACCACGTCTCTCGGTCTCCACTTGGTGTTTCCTCCCCAGAATATATTCTCCCCGAACGGCCCGTTCGAGTGGACCAGCCTGCAATCGCCCACTCGCTTCTTCGCCCACGCCCCGGCATACGCCGCCAGTCTCAGCGGCTCCCCCACCCGCCGCCTCACCGCGTTGTGCGCGTTCAGGAACTCCGCCTTCGCCCGGTTCGGCCTCCGCTTCCTTGTCGCGTTGAACACGACCGTGGACTGGCTCGGCGTCACCGGCGGTGATTCAGCGGTCGTGGTGGTAGGAGAGCTGGTCGACGGCGATTTAGCTGTCGTGGTGGTGGGAGAGCTGCCAGCCGGCGATTTAGCTGTCGTGGTGGTGGGAGAGCTGCCAGGCGGCGATTTAGCTGTCGTGGTGGTGGGAGAGCTGCCCGGCGGCGATTTGGCTGTCGTGGTGGTGGGAGAGCTGCCCGGCGGCGATTTAGCTGTCGTGGTGGTGGGAGAGCTAACCGGCGGCGATTTAGCTGTCGTGGTGGTGGGAGAGCTGCCCGGTGGCGATTTGGCTGTCGTGGTGGTTGGAGAGCTGACCGGCGGCGATTTAGCTATCGTGGTGGTGGGAGAGCTGACCGGCGGCGATCGCGTGGAACTCCGGTAGTGGAAACCTATGGATAGGGTTTGGGGAGTGGCGGGAAAAAATTGGGAGAAGAAGAATGAGAAGAGGAGGAGGAGGGGAATCGGGTGTCGGGTTTTTGATATCCGGAGCTCCATTTGATTCCTCTTTGTTTTAACGGGAGAGTTGATTAATTTAAGTAGGTCCTCCCTTTCAAAGTCAACGCACGGCGAACAGTAATTCCCGGGGAGCCGTACGGTCAATTTAGTCCATCCTTATTTAAGACAATAATATTCCATTACGTTATTAATATGATCCTGCTTTTTTTATGACGAAAAACATTTTAACCACCAACATAAAACCCTCTTTATATAAAGTTTTATATCCTCATTTATATTCGAATATTTTTTATATTATCATCGTATTATTATATTTTCTTCATACACTGTTCATATTCATTTTTGGCAAAAACAGCAGTTGATAAAACTAAATTTTCAGGGATGAAATGAAATTTGTATTTCGAAAAAAATGTAGTATTTGGAAATAACTAAATAATCTCGAGATAATTATGGAGAGTGGAATAGAAGCACAGAAACCCCGCTTATGTATGGAAAAGCCCTGAAAGGGATGATCCTGAAGTTTCCATCGGAAGCAGAGAAAGGGGACTGAGATGCAATTCTTCGGAGGATGTCATAACAGAACAGAAATCCAACCCAGATTAGGGTTTCTACCTTCTTTCCTCTCACACCCCTCGTAAGTACCAAAGCGATATGAGTTCTGGCATTCAGTGTTTTTTTGGTCCGATTCTTGCGAAATTCCATGTTTTTTTTTCTGGGTTCCCAAGTTCCATGGAATGAGTCCGCTCTTC